ATATCTGTAGTATGTGTGACATTAGGATGTTAAGTAAATTCTTTGATGTAAAATACTTAACATGCAGTTAAATTGTCTCTCTCTCTTTCATAATCAATTTTCTTGTCATTTGGGGACTGAAATAACAACAGAATTAAATTCTCCATATGTTCTTTATGTCATATCAAATGTCACACTGGGAAAATATCTATGGACCTGAATTTTCCATGTATATTTATACCATTTAATTGTATTTGTATGCTGTATATGTATATATTCTATATTCCAACTTTCACTGGCTTCCTTTTTAAATGATGAATTATGTTTTTTAAAGTGGAAAATTCAAATCACAAAAATAGGATTGTTTCTGGAATTTGCATTTATTTCTATCCTGTAATGTATGATTAATGTTCAAACACCGTCATCAAAAAATATGTGTCTTATAAAATATTTGATGTAATACCTTGATATAATCAATGCTTGTATTTTTTAAACTTTGCTTACTTTTTATATTGTACATGTTTTTATGGTTTGCTTCCCTCTCCTACTTTAATAGAAGTTTTGCTTGCAGTGAAATATTTATTATTATTATCATTATTATACAGTACATCATTGCTCTGTAATAGCTTTTGCAAATCTACTCACTTTACCAAACATTAGTACTTCAAGTGTGTCAGACTATTCTGCCACTTTTCAGTCTATGGAAATCTTCATTCTGTTTTCATTGTTAGTGTTTTCCTAGAATATTTGCAGACAACAATTCATTAAAGAATACAAAAAACTTCAGAGACACTTTGCTTGTTTATATGAAGTGGGGTTTTTCTTGAGAAAGAATATGTAATATGTGAGATAGGACGTTATATTTCAATTGATCTTTGATTAAGAATAAAAATGCTTTATTATTAGCTGATAATAAGACCTTTTAACCTCTCTTAGCTTTCATGTACAGGCAGCCAGGAGGGGACTTTCTCTTTCTACCCCAGGTCTCATGACAAAACTAATTTTGGATTACCTTTGGACTCTACTTGAAACTAGACTCTTCTCGCTCAAGATCAAGTTGTTGGACTATCTTTTGGCTCCTGTACAGCATGTAAGGCAGTGATACAACTCAGTGAGATCTTTCTCAATGTAATGAGTCCGTAATATTTGTCTGAGAGCTCGTGAGGTCAAATGAACCCTACTTTCAAGGTAACTTTTCAGTTGTGTTCCTGCTTGAATGATGGCTTCAACAACATCTCCTTCATCATATGTCCTCTGAGTGTGTCTTTCCAAGCTAGTGTTTGTCAATTTCTCCTTTTGTCAGTGGTCCCATTATTTTATTTATTTATTTAGTGGAGATATCATCTGAATTTCAGGAGCGGGACCACTCCTCCTTCACGCCCCCTCTGGCCTCAGGCTATAAAAGCCCCCCTTCACCAATACCTGCTGTTCTCATTTTCATGCCCCACCCTTTCCCCTCATTTTCCCTCTCTTCTCCTCTTCATTCACTTCTCGTTAGTACACGGGGATCTGCCCGGCCTGGGAGCCGTCGCCAGTCCCCTTCGAGGCCTTCCCCAAAACGCAGCACCAGTTCACACTTCCTCATAACTCATTGCCCATCGTTACCAAGTATGTGGTCCTCGTGCCACTCTCCCGGAAAGAGCTGAGGAGAGCCCAGGATGAGGGTTCACTCAGCAGACGCGGAGCAGAAGCCAGAGGGGGTTGCAGTGACGTGCCCGTGAGCCCTGAGAGTAGACCAAGCCCCATGCACAGAGGCCGAGGGCACCCCACCCCCCCGAAGGGGCCCAACCGAGCCACAGGCGCCAGGCCCTGACAAGCAGCCAACGGGAGTCAGCTGTGTATCCATATAAATGGCCCACCCTGTAGATAAGCGACTAATCATAGCCACACCCCGGTGACCTGCAGGGAATGGGGATGGCAGCAGGAGACAATTTTAACTGGATTTGACTTTTGTTGTTCTTTGATTTTTGTGCACATTAAAGAAATAACAGACAAGAGAATCACTGGAATTTATTTCAGTGTTAGTTTAATATTCCTTTAAAATGTGCTTCATTATATTTAAAATATAATGTGACAACAGCAAACAAAAACAGACAAACGATGTTTTATATAATTTGTAATTTTATAGAATGAACAGTCAGAACAAACATAAGAGGAAAGGTTATTATTTTTTTCTCAGAAATGTTGCACAGTGGTGGCACTTCCTGTAAATGTTATAAGGTATTCTGGGTAGGCCTGGATATCATTGAAGACCACAAACATGCTTGGATTCGACACGTTATCTGTGACGCTGTCATAGAGGTCTGAAGCGCTCCCAGATTTGGCTGGAGGGGTGATCATGCCTTGTCGTCCTTGGATGTAGTCTCCAACAAGAACCTTGGCCTGGTACATGCGCTTGTGTCCTTTGGCGTCAGGGCTGGCGTAGCCTTGTGCTGAATAGTTTGGGTTCACAGCAAAGTAAGAACCTTTGCCGATTACTGCACCTACTGACAGAGCGAATAGATAAAAAGATTTAGTCAAAGTAACCGAGTGATGCTCCACAGCTGTGGTCTCTGTCAGATATGTATCATGTATGTCATTAGAGTGCTTAACTATCAGTTTGTAAGTGGAGGGTAAAAAAGCTGTGGCTTGTTTCTGGTAGCTCAGGTGCAGACGGGAACATCAGCCCTAAATGTTGGTAAAAAAGGTTTGTGCCTGTTTTTCTAATGAACATGTAGATAGATCTGACTGAACGATTTAAAGTCATCAAACATGGGATGTTTTATTTCTCTAATAACCAGTGAAAGCTTCGGCCATTGTTTAATAAACTACAGCCTGGAAATAAACTAAATAAAACATGGAAATAAGTGTGATAACTGCTGAGGAACATCTGCCTGGTCTGCAGGGATGAGCCAGACAACAAAACACACAACAGTAGAAAATGTCTGAAACTGACTCGACCAGTAACTTACAAAACACCAGCAAACAGAAAAAACGAACAGCAGTGGAAGAAAGCACAAGGAAATACAACATGAGTGGGTTTTTGTATGTGATGGAAGAGTTGTGTACGTGATAAGTGCAGACATGTATCTGCTGCGTTATGATTCACGCGGTAAAAACACACATTTCCTGTATCACTGAAGAACGCTTCACCTCTGTGTGTCTCTGTATGATTCACACATGTTTTGGGTTCTGTCACTTCTGCAGCTGGTCCGTCACATTATTGTCACCCCAGAATCTTTTTTTTTCAGTTCATTTTTTTCTACTTTCACTTTGTTCTATTTAAATTCGTTTGTGTTTTATTTAACTGCCGTTGTTTCATGTGCTTTTTTTCTATTGCCGGTGTTTTATTTTTACTTTCATTTTATTTTTACTTTTTACCGCTTTAGACCTTTAAGGCGTCCTTATATTTTACTGCAACACCTCTGTTTGTCCACAATCTCCCAGCAGTCAATATTATTCTATTAGTCATAGATATGACATCTTCATGTTATCTAGCAACCACCTACCAATACAACACCATACGAAAGACTTGCATCATTTTAAATGAACAATAATAACATGTAATTTAGCAAATACTGAATATTTGGACTTTTGATATTTTTAAATCTCCAGATCGTGATGTCAGTCGTATCAATATTCCGTCATTTCACACATGAGCAGACTTTTCTGTTAAAACAAACTGGATGAATGAAATGTTTACATTTTCTTATTACTGTTTCTGTTTGCAAATGTTATTTATTACATATTTGGAAAGGATGTTTTGGGGCGTACTAACTGATATTAATATTCTGTGAGCAATCAATGTGCCGTGTGTGAGTGTTCAGGTACCGTTTGTTCCTGCGTAGCTGCGGTTGAAGCCTTTGTTGTTGATGAGATCGACAGATTTAGCCTTGGTGCCATGAAAAAGAAGCTTTTCGTTGTTTTTATGTTTATTCTTTGCCTCC